GCGGTGGGGCAGCTGAAGAAGACAGCGTTTCCCAGCAGTGGGGTGCAGGGGTGTAGTTGGGCTGGAGAAGGGGGGTGAGTGTGATTGGCACAAGATTATGGTCAGAATTATTTTTCCTTTAGCTTTCTGGCTATACAGAACATGATGAATGAGAGAATGAAGAGTTGGGCCTGTCTGACCTCACAGTTTTGAAACATGTATCTAACTAGTTGTTGGATGGTTGCTGGCTTGCTGAAGTCACTCTTGGCCACCAAAAGCAAGTTTATAAGCAATTCTCCTGATTAGGCTTACAGTTTAGAGGTTTTGGATTCCAATATTTCTCACTATTAAAAGAAGTACACTAATTTCTCTATTTCTACATTTGTATATTTGATTTCTAGGAAATAAGCATTCAGCTGCTCTGAAGAATGAAGATGCTGCTCAAAGGTATAATTTCTAACTAACATGATGTGGCATTCATGTTGTTTTGCCTCACTTTGAAATTGCATTCTCTGCCTCCTATGGTTTTTTTGCTTCCTCAGAGTACCATGACTAACTTCAGGAGATCACCAGCATCAAAATCATGCAGGCTTGTTTGGAGTGACGCGATGTAACTAACAGCACGCATAGATGTACATTGTATAATACACTAAAAGTTTATGAATCTAACCTCCACAGTCGTATTTCCTTAGTCTGCAGTGCTTGCTTTTTACCATCTTAACTTCTTTGCATTCCTGATATTTTCCTTTATTCACTTTAAAAAACAAACTTGAGAGGAAAAAACACTCTCTGTCATGGACAATTACTTAAATACTCATTTGACTCTGTAGCAGACCTAGACTGCCAGGTGACTAGCATAGACCTCTATCAGTTAACACAGCAGAATGACTGTGTGTTGACAGCCTCTATGGGAAGTGCTGCCAAATAGAGATTGGAGACACCTAGATGGTTGCTCTCTGGGTATTTGCTGACAGTAGAATAGTGGCAAGACTCGGGAACACTCAGGGAACCTACTGTAGTGGTATTTATTTGATATATTCCTTCCTTTACTTTGTACCCTTCCACTCAGTCTTGTCCCAGTCCTTTTTTCTTCCTGCTGTTCATGTCTCATACAGCTCCCATTCTCCTGGCAACACTCCATAAATTTGTTTCAGGCTCTTTGTCCAGCCATTTCTGGGTTTCTCTCTCTTGCAAGAAGATTGTGTAACCTTGTGTGGAAGTATCGCAATGCCGTAAGATTCAATAGTTTTCCTGACTGGAGTGGAAATAAAGCAAACCAAGGCTGGAGAGTCCTTTGTGGTTATTATAGAATTACTGGTCCAGTTACTTGTTGCTTTGTTTGGCCAACATGATGTGATATAGAAAAATGTAAGCTACAGTGTTTCAGTAAAAAAGGTGAAGATACGATTGGAAAAGTGTTTATCCAGATCTGCCCTCTGTGTCATTCAGTGTCTCCTCTGTTACAGGAAAGCAGCTCTGGAAGCTGCTATGAGAAAGAAGATTGAATTTGAAAAAAAAGCACTGCATATTGTTGAACAACTCCTGGAAGAGAATATTACTGAAGAGTTTCTTCTGAATTCTGTAGGTGTTTCAAGTTTTTCTACTATTTTGCATCTTAGTGTTCAATTTATTTTTTTTTTAAGTTCTTGGAAAAATTTGCTGCTGTTTAAAGTAGACAAATCATTTATTCTCTCTCTTGTCAGCTCTGATTATGATTGCCTTATTTTCAAGGGTTCTGCAGTGAAAACTTGGCCTTGTTTTGCAGCACTCTGTACACTTATGAATTGTTACTTTATTACCACAGCCTTTGTTTATGCCTCTGTGTTTCTGGACTGATAGGTGAAGCAGAAAAACTGAGGTCCACATCACATAGTCTGTGAATTTAGACAAAGTCTCTATAATGCCTCCCAGTTTGTTTGGCAGCACAATTTTGCTGGAACGGTATGATGATTACTCCTGTTAAGGTTCTAAATAGGCTGATAAATAGGTGTACAAAACATGTAAATAGACAAAAATTATGAATATAGGTGCAAATGAGGCTTTTCTATATGTAAAAATAAGTGCCCATGTCTGTCTTCTTTCCCTGTTTACCTTTTTACCATTTTTACTGTGTAAGCTCTAAATATTGTTTAGTAAACTTAATAAATAACTGTTATAAAATTGAAAAGATTTATTTATTTTTTATATGTTTTGAGTACAAAAAATGATTTCCAGATTTTCCAGTATCTGTTGTTGAACTATTTTCTTGTCATTTTAGGGAAAATTTATTACTCCATCTCACTATAAAGACATTGTTGATGAACGGTCTATCATCAAACTATGTGGATATCCTCTGTGTCAAAATAAACTGGAAAATGTAAGTTGCTTTTTATTAATGCTGTTACAAGAATCTCTTCACGATTTTTATTCTCTTGCATTTTCTCTTTAATTTTAAACTTACAATATTAAACATAAATTAAAATACTGTCGTTATGGGCCAGGCATCATATCATTTCATTTCAGTGTAATCCTTCTGAAGTAAAAGGTGAAATTTGATCAGTTGACTGTCTGACATTACTGTATGACAGAATCAGTTAGCATCTATTTGACAGTAATAAAGATGAATGAGGTATGCCTTCATGGCCTTCCTTTCTGCATGCAGGAACTTTCTAATCTTGTTCCATCTTCACTGTTACCATGTATCTCTGGGAGAAGGATTGAAGTGGAAAAATAATACAGTGCAGAGATATCACTATGTGAATGCATATGCATCTGCTCTAAAAATGTACATTACCTGTGTCAAAATCGTAGTCACACTTACTCGAGTACGGTATGTCAGAGCTTAAGCAGAACTCAAGAGTTCAGTTAGATAACCTGGGTTGTTGTGGTACACCTGAGTATCTGAAAAAAATCTACTTAAGTACAAAAACTTTAACTGTTTTGAACTTCATATGTCCCTGCAGAATTTCACTTGGAAACTGTATTATATTTTATTTAATTTCCTCTCTGGATTTGTCTGGGTGGTGGTGGGGGTCTGACAGTACAGCTTCACATGCATATAAATAGATAAGGATTAATGAAGGACCTGTCTGTAATTGCCCAGCACTTATACATGTACAAGTAAAGCTTCTGCCACGGCAGCTCCATTGTTTTATATTCAGCACTGGCTTTCTTGTAGATCTGAAGTCATCTTCAACTCATAGTGAGATGTAAATGATTAAACTGCAGTTCTTACATCTGAGAAGGTACAATACCAAAAGAACTGAGAGAAAAGGTAGTTGAAATATGCAGTTCAGTTAAAATGGAACATATTATGCATATTAAAATGTTAATTAAGAATTAAGTTTTCTGTAAAGTCATGATGGAAGTAAGTCTTGCTGATGAAAACATGTCGTTTAAGGTGCCAAAACAGAAGTACAGAATTTCAACAAAAACGAACAGAGTTTATGATATCACTGAAAGAAAGGTATGGTAACAAGTATATTTCTAAAATGTATTTAATATTGTCATATAGTGGCTTGATTTAGATTTGGTTCTTATGAATATAATTTTCATTAACTATTAGAATATAAAGGCTATTGTGCATTTCAGTTTCTAGATACTCTCTTTGGAAAGACAAAAAACCCACTTATTTTCTTTTCTAAATTTAAAAATAACATGGAAACTTTTACTTGAATAGCAGTTTGAATGTGGCACAGCTTATCTGTTAAAGACACTTGTGAAGAAGTGTTCTCTGTTTTGCTCCAGTATAGTCAATGAGCTTTAGTAGGGTCAAAGTGCGCATCCTTTTCATTCACAGAAGTTTCCAGTGGTGTAATACAAGTTGGGTCTTATGCATTCCATTCGTGTGACTGCCTTTAGGGTTCTTTTTTGAGGACTTTTCAACACAAAACCTATCTCTTCACAAAGTCTTTCTTTCTTTAAGCATATTCATGGTTGAGTAGAAGTCTTCTTTGCCTGCTAAAAGGGTACACAGTCACCTACAGGTGCTTATATGCTAAATTGCAAGATAAATGTTTCTAGTTCCAGAACAAATTTCTTCAGTGTCGCTTGTGTACGTTCCTTTCCTCTGATTCCAACTCTGGGATACACAAAATTCTGGTAATTGCTTTCTCAAGCTACTAAGCAAGACTCAGAGAAGTGGGATGTTTTGTCTTGTTCCCTGATGCAAGTGTGCAAACTAATTTTTCAAAGATACTGCAAAATTTTAGGTGATATTCTGAGCATTGCAAAATATCCAAGTTCTGTTACCAACCAAAATTTTCATTATTAAACACCTGAATTTTATTGCATGTCTTTATGACCATCTTGATGGGTTAGGGATTGCTCTCTGAACAGTTTTTGGTTTTTTAAAGTTATTGTTACGTAGAATCCAACACTGGTTTGCTTCTCAATATGTAATAAAAGTGCAAAAAGCAGAAAAGTGGGGAAAAAAGAAGAAACTTCAAGTGGTTTGTGAAGAATGGGATAGACCTATTTGATAGATTTGGTTTCTCAGGTGAATTAAAAACCTGGTCATAGGCTTAAAAAGAAATGTGAATTGGTACTTAAATTTTACAGGCGTAAAAAACAATTACTTTTGTACCTCTCTATGAGAATTAAAGTTGTCTTTAGTTATATTTTTATTGCTTTCTCTCTTATTTCCAGTGCTTTTGCAGCAACTTTTGCTATAGAGCATCCAAATATTTTGAAGCTCAGATTTCCAAAAGTCCAGTATGGATGCGAGAAGAAGAAAAGTAAGTATAGCTTATACATTCATTGCTCCTTTTGAGAATATTAATTTGTCTGTACAAGCTACAATGCTAATTAGTTAGCTGCAATGCTTCAAAATTATTACACTGAAGCTGGGATAACTGATGTTAATGTGTTAGCTTAGCATGGTGTTAATTTTAAAACTGTTTTTGCCATATTGATACAATAATTGACATGACTCAGAACTACTCATGACTGCTCAGTAGTTTAGAGAGCAGACTAGTCATAAATAGTAGTCAACTCATAAGAGTTGACAACTATTAAAGTTAATAGTAACTTTAAAATGTACTTATTAGGATTGGATTTTTGCAAACCATATAATGTACAGGATGAATTAATCTTACCCTGTTAAAAGAGATTTTCTGTTTTTAGCACAGCATTTAGCATTGGTCTTAAGGTTAGACTGTGAATGCTTGTGCCTGAAAACAGACTATAACATGAAAAGGTTCTTTATCCTGGCTAAAACTCTTAATTTCAGATTGCCCATTTCCTGCTGTTACTGCAATACACATTTTGGAACAGTGTGATGCACTCCCTGTTCCTCCCTTTGGAAACATAGGCTTGCAAATAAGGAATTGAACCAATGGGTGTCACTGTTTAACAATAAATACTTGCCTGGAAAATGTTCAGCTGAATTTATTAATCTTCCATTATCCAAGACACTGTCATAGTCTCCCAGTTTTCAGCAAAATTAATTAGCTGAAATGATATGTGTGAGCTTGGTTTCACAGTTCAGATCAGTTATAGAAAATACCCAATCAGTGAGAGAAGTTGTTTAGAGCAGCCTGATCTGACCTGAGGGATTCTAGTAGGTAAAACTAGTCTCTTAATTAAAAGTTTAAGTAAGCTTACCAGTATTTTTGTACTCTTGTTTTACTGTCTTTAAATAAAGTATTTCTAAAATCTAAAATCTCCCTTTATTTTTAACATTGAAAGTGTATAGTTCTGATATGCCTGACATAGTTAATGATATGTACTGTGTGGTTGGAGGGAGGTGGTATTTTCAAAAAAATAAACAAACAGACTGAACCCCAGATAGTTGATGGCTAGGTATGTCTGTTTGCACAACCACATACACATGCACACACTGATAAATGTTTGCACATTAGGATATCTGAAATTCTTTTGGCAGAGAAGACTACAGCCTCCACTTAAAATTCTGAAGAATTGCTATATGGAGTTAATAGTTGAAATCACTGTATGTTGTCACCCACAGGTTTATAAAGATGAAAGCTGAGTGGTGCAGCTTTCATCTTTATAAACCTGTGGGGTTTTTTGTCTGAGAGGTGTTAGTGCATTGACTTGCATTTAGTGTGTGCTTAAAAGGTCTTCTTGCGTTCATAGGATATGTGTGTGAGGATTTCAGCGTTTAATATTGGATAAAGTTATGCTGCCTCATAACTGAATTGAAGCAGATTAACTGCAAGTAGAGTTTTTGAAAGAAACCTGACAGAATTTATTTAGTTATGGTTCTTAGAGTTTCTGGAAACCTTTGAACTCAATTTTCTTAAAGCAGTGTAACTTGATAGCCTAATTTTTAACAAAGTAAAATTTTAAATAAGTAAAGATATCCTGAATATTCTTCTTTTTGGCATTAATTTGGAGCATTTTCCTATAAACAGCCCAGGATTGTTTTTACTATAGAAACTTTGTTACCTGTGAGGATCTTGGCCTGTTTACTTTGATGAAGAGGAGGCCAAAGGCTGATCTGAAAGCAGTCTACAACTACTTGAAAAAAAGTTACAGAGATTACAAAGCCAAACTATTCTTGATTGATGGCAGAAAATTTAATAAGGGTTGATGGCCACAAGTTATCACATGGATAGTTCAGGTTGGACAGTAGAAAAAAAAAATTACACTAAGGTTGGGGTGGAATGAAACAGGGTAGTCAATAATGTTTTGAAATCTCCATCTTTGGAGATTTGAATTTGTGGCTGACCTAATCTAGTGCTGGTGACAATTGCATTATGAGCAGGACGTCAGACTAGAGACCTCCAGAGGGCCTTTCTGACTAACATTTGTGTGACTTGCTGATTCTATCAAATGTTGTTCAACATAACAGCATTGTGCTGCAGGGACATGAGTCATGCTCTGTGAACACATGTGTATAAACCTGTCCTCACTAAATCTGCTTTGAACAGAGGCTGTTGGACTAGAACATCCTCAGACGCCCCTTCCAACCTCAACTATGTATTTTATGTATTAACTTGTATCTGAAGAGCATTGATTTAGCAGGAAAATCTTCATTCTGTATTTTCTTTTGCAGACCACCAGACATAGAGCTGCTGAAGGAGGGACAGAGGTACACTGAACAATATTTTTTTTTGTTATGTGCACTTACAGTTAGAAATATTAGCATTGTATCAGGTGAAAGGGGAATCTTTGATTTCCTGTGTTATAGACAAGACCTTATTAGAGCCTACACAAAGGATTATTTGTCTTTTTTATTTTTTCCTTTGTGATTCTAAAACAGCATATTTGATCTGTATGATTTAGTGTACAGCTGTTCTTGGCCTGTATGTCTTTATTGAGCCTGCTGAAATCTGAAACAAAAGCACTGTTTGTACTTTGCATATTTTATACCCTCTGTTCTTTATAAAGAAAATGGTACCAATTATATGTGATGAAAGCTTCTGTACTTCTTAATCTATATCAGCTAAAATGAAATTATACTCTTCTGTCATCTCTCTGTACCTTGCTGTGTATTGTGACTGTTTGTTTTCTTTTGCAACACGTGGCCATTAGGTGGCAAACTTACACACACTAAAAACAATTCTGTTGTTCCCCTGCTTTTAGGGTATTATATTTATATATATGTTAAGATGCCTATCTTCATTGTAAAATTGCGCTATTCATCATGCTAAATCTGAAATTCTGTTGTCTTTAATAATATCTTGTTTACTATTCTTTTCTAATTACCAATAAGCAACTGAGCATTCACCTCTCTAAATAGTGTCTATACTTGTCATCCTGATTGCAGAACATTACAGCTCTTTGAGAATATTTTCAGAAGAGCAGCCATGATTCTTAAAGCAAAAAAGTACACTTCTGTTACAAGACAAAAATGCTTTGTTTATTTTTCTTACACAAGAATGAAAAATTACCACAGGTAACATCCATTTCTTATTTCATTGATAGCTTGTGTTTTCTGTTACAGTGGGCAATCTGGAGAAGAGGTGAAACTATGTGATGAAGTAATTAAAGCTTCTGACATTGAAAATCCTAGGATATCTTCAAATCCATGTGAATCTGGTTCTCATGACACAGCCAGTGACAGCAGTAGTGATAATGAACAAGAATTTGTTTCTTCTGTTCTAACAGGAAGTCAGTCAAGTTCAGCCAGTTTTGCACAGCAATTGCACAGAAACAGCATCCTCAAGAAGAAGCATGCTCAGAAAGTCTATTCCAGCCCTAAAACTGAAGACTCAGATGTGGTAGAAGCCACTGAACGACTATCTAATTGTAAATTGGATGCTCAGGAAGAAGTGTATGCCTGCTCTGTTCATAATAAAATAACTGCAACGCCTTCAAAAAATACTACTCTAGGAAAATCAAGTGCTTCAGAAAACTATGAAAACACCTGTAGTCGTTCACAGATAGTTTTTCTAGGTGTGAGCAAAAGAGGGGCAGAACATCTTAAAAGAACACTAGCTAACTCAAAAGAAAATAAAAAAACTGACCTGAGGGATCCAGTTAACTCCAAAGGCAGTTTATTAGAAGTGCTTAAGCAAACTCTTATGGAATGGAGAACTGAGGAAACTTTAAAATTTCTCTATGGCCCGAAGTACACTTCTTTGTGCTCATCAGAATGCGTATCATCTGCCAGCCAGGAGAATGAAGAACTTGATGAGGATGACTTAGATCCAGCTGATGATCCTAATGCTGTTGCTGTAGAAGAGTCTGAAAACAGTTTGAACTATTCTTTACCTTTCACAAGTCCAGGTGGAATAGTTAAGCCTGTGCCTAGTTACGAAAAGTTAAAAGAAGAAACAGAGTTCTTAGAGCTCCGAGTAAGAGAGTTCTATAAAGGGAAGTGCATCTTGGCTGAAGAGGCAGTGACACGTACACCGGCAGAGGAACACCCAAGCAAAGACAAAGTAAGTGTACAGTGGAGTAGTGTCAAGGCTGTATAAGGCCTGTCTTCAGAGAATTATTACAAGCTCTTTGTTTCTGTCATCATAAGTGGATATGGCCAAAATAACATCAAGCTATTAATGTAAAATAGTAAAAGGAAGGTTGGATAGGTTCACAACAATCCCATAAGGTTGAGGAGTCCTACTTTAAGTTAGTAAGAATGAGTTTGTATGACTGTTGAGTACACATTCAATTCTGATTCTTTCAGTTGTGGAACATGAAGGTAAGGAAGGTTTACTTAGATGAAAAAATGTGTTGTAAGACAGAGTAGACTTTGGGTGAGGAGGGAGTGTGTTTGGTGGTTTTTTTCCTCCCTCTTTGAGTCATTAAATAAAATTTTTATTTCGTGAAGTTTTGCCGTTTATTCGTGACAGAGTATACTTGAGATTGGATTTCTTTTTTCTCTTGAGTAAGACTAGATCTCTGGCATTACTTATTGTTAAAATTCTCTGAGTTGGAACCTGCTGATCAGTTTGGATATGTTGCTGTGATCTAGACCTCTGGAGTATTTGCAGATTGCAAGAAACAGAGTGGTCTGAGGTTTTACCCCTTCAGACAAACCAGCTGATAGCAACTGGGTGGTCTTGTTGCTACTGTAAAAACAGTATGCTCACTAGGCAAGGTGGGTTGTACAGTTTGTACTGGCACATGAAATTGCTTTTGCCTTTAAAGTTCAGGTGTGATATTAGCATCAGAGGGTACAATTTTCATAATGCTGCTTCTGATAAAGCAAAGCAGCTTGGAAAAAGTTTAATCTGCCTTAAGTTTTGAAGGACTTTACCATTAGTTGAATTAGATTATAGCATAGGGAAGCGGAAAAGTAGACTAGCTGCACACTGTATGTTGAGTCAGATTAAGCAAACTTCTGTCCATTAAGAAATTACTGTATGAGCTTTTTTTCTGTTCAGAGATGAGAGGTTTTATATGTTTAAACATTTATTGATAAGCTGTGATTATTTTGATGCATTGATTTTCATTAAGTACTAGGTTA